TTATACGTATATAGTTTCATATCAAATATTTTAGAGTTTCATTCATAACAGAAAAGTACCGGTACGTATTGTGCGTACGTACGTACGCAGTCTCATCTGCCATGAGGCCTTTTGTTAAAACATTCTTTTGTTCTTTGTTTCAGAGTTAAATGTGTCTCGTGGTATAGTGCGGCCATTGTCATTGTACTGTAATAGAAAACGGATACCTTATTTCAAATCAAAGAAGATAAATTGGGTTATCCCAAAAGAATACGTACAGAAATATAGTATGAAGGGGAAACATTGTAAAAAGCTAAAAAAAGAAATAGATTAACAACGTTTAGACTCTAATCTACTTTTTTTTCGAAATTTATATTTAAAAAGCCACCTTTCTTGATTTAGTATTTAGCATTTACACGTGGATGCACATTACTTTGTTCAACTTACAGTTATGATTGGCGAAACGGCGCTGATTTGCCGCCTAGAAAATATTCATATCCTTATTACGAACTCTTTTACTTATCATTAAAAATTATTCTGTATTAAAATGAACCAAAAGAAATACGTTGAAATTATTTAATCTTCATTGAATAATCTTTTGAATCGACAAAAAAATGTGTATGCAATTCATTGTAAAATAAATCGAATTTTTTTTTTTCCTTTTATTTGGCTAATTTTTCGTTATTGTGTTACAATCAATAATGGAATAAGATGAAGTGGCATTAAGATTTTTTTGTTTCCGCCTAACACTAGCTTTCATATTCCACGTCACGAATTAATGTGTTAAGGATTTAATATATGCGCAGAAATTCAAAAATAGTAAACTAAAAATAGTATAATTATTGCCAAGAATAACTTATTATAACTGATAAGGTTTGTGATTGACATAGTGAATGATGTAATCTACATGGGATAAACTTAAAATTTCCAAACTAACCATCTATACCCTTATTGAATAAACCAATAGGTTGTTAGCAAAGTTACTATTTATAGTTTTTTTTCGATTTTCGGAAGTTTTTTCGAATATAACTGTTTTAGTCGTAGTGTGGCCATTACCATTACTATCACTATTATCAGTCATTCATTCGATTAGTAATTTTTTTAGCCCTTAAATTTTTGTACTCTTTGCCGTACATCTGGCTTTTCTTTAGAGATCCCTATTGCATACATACAAGCAGATCATAAGATCATCGGAAATGAACAAATCCACTGTTGAATATAAAAAACGATCATTTTTCTAATTTTTTTTATTCCTTTTCGCTCCGGGTCTTTTTTTTTTTCCTCTTTTTTTTTTTTTTATTGTAATCTGTAAAGGCAGAACAATAAAATGTTGGATATAACAGGATTATTTGATGAAAGCTTGGAGGCTATAAGGGCGAATAAATACAATTATCAAGACTTGTCAAGGAAAGACTTTGACTATGATGATACACAATTAAAAGACTCCAGAAGACATTTTAAAATTATTTTAAATAATCGTCCTCCTAAATACTGTCCTCCTGCTGATTTCATAAATAATGATGACCGTGAATTTGAAAGATTAATAAGAATTGATAATAATGATCCATTCAATTATGGTCCCGGTAATTTTGACGTAATAATTTGCGTCGGTGAAGAACCAAACGTAGAAAGATTCAGAAGTCATTCTGTTATTCTTAGTAAAAGAAGTTCATATTTCAGAACTGCTTTATCAAGCATATGGGCAAAAAAATGTGGTAATATTTTTTTCTTCGAAAAACCAAATATGTCACCAAAAGTTTTTCACCTCTATTCTCAGGTAAT